GGGTTTATGGGCAGCTCTCTTCATATTCTGCTTGGAAGATAAGACATCTTACTTTCCACTTGACAAAATCATTACATTGTTATAAGGCTTTATATTGAAGAGCTTGATAAATGGCAAAACATAAATAAAACTCCATTGAAAAGGGAGAGAATTATATGTGCTCCGTTTATGGTAAACCGAATTTAACAGATGCAAGACAAGGTTGTGAAAATAGCCAGTGTCAAAACAGTGCAGAATTGAACTTGTTTAGTGTTCAGTTTGCAATGTCTGCTATCAGTACAGTACTCCATTTCAAAAGCATACATTCCTTCCTACAGAAAAAATGCAGATTTCTTAGTTGAAATTAATTAGCATTCAGAAACCAGATAGCATGTTTTTGGGTATTCATGAGATCTCTGTTTGAAAAAATGTTTTTAACTTGTAGAAATGTGTTGCAACACACAGATGGGAAGAAAAAAGAAAAAAAATCTCTTTAGCAAGCACTGTGTGTAAAAGGAATATTACATTTTGCACGCTCCTGATTACCCTATATAAACAGTTTTTGACATCTGTCTTTATAGTTTGCGAGGAGAGGAAGACTTTGTTAAAAGAACCATTTTTATACAGCAGTCACCATTTCAGTCTTGCTTTACCTGTATTATGAAAGCAGATGGTCTGCATGTCTTTTGAATATTTATAACTATCAAAAACAATCTCTTGCTATTCACCCTTAGGCTTATGAGATGTCAGGACTGTTCTGGTTGAAAAAAAATCATCTTGGGTGTTTACAGAAAGAGGATTACATTAAGCTGAAATGACTATACATTTTCCAGTTTAATATTTGTCCATCAGCTGTTTAATCGTATTTAGATAATTGTGTAAATAAGTTGTTGCAGCCCTTGCCCCCTCCACTGATAGAGCTTGAAAGCTTTAAACACCGATGAGCCAGTTTCATAAATGCTTCTCTCCTCCCCCCCGCCCTCCTTCAGTTAAACAATTAGAAAGGCCTAAATAAGTTTTGGTTATGATACCACTTTGAGGAGGAAATTTCATACCAAAAAATCCTTAATATCTAGCTTAGAGTCCTGTAAGGGAACTGTTGTCTCTGGTACCCTCTGCTAAGTCTGTTAGCATGTATTTGTTCTGTGCAAATACTGCATCCCAAATACCCTTTGAGGTTGTTTTCTGTGCTTCAGTCTTGTTATGTAAGAGTAATTTTAAGGTTATTATTGGGGAAGTTTTGGGATTGTGGGGCTTAAGTGTTTTTGACTGGAAGCTGAGCAATCACTGATAACAGATTTTGCTGTGGTTGGTTGATTTGGCAGGAAAGCATGAACAGTTTTGGTTTGGATGATTGAATTAACCTGATTAACATTGTTTTTGTTGTTTTGCAAAAAGGACAACAATACATTTTTAGTCATAACTGACCAGTTTTTTACCTGGTTGGTAAGCAGTCTTACAGGAAACAGTGAAGGAATACTTCCCGGAAAGTACCTACAGTGGCAGCTGAAATGACCAGACAGAATCAAACATAAAATTCTTTCTGTTGCCTAGTGAAACACATCATATATTGGCCTCTAATATAATAATGTAAAAGGTGACTGACACTGGCATCTTTTTAAGCAATGGACATATAAACAACTTACTTTCTAAAGAGTGCTTGAAACTTCTTGAAGAACACCTCATGCCTATTTATCATATCTATGATATTTAACCTTTTGAGGTGATGAGATTCAGTTTTTAAAACTACATTCTAAGGAAACCTAAGCTGAACTTGAGAACCAATTCTAGCCCTATTCCACCACAATTATGGAAGACCTAATTGTAAACAATGTATCTGGCTGAAAAAGAAAGCTCAGGCTGCGACAGATGGTATCGTGCCAGAGTACTGGGGTTTCTGTCAAGGTGGCACCATTTCAGATCAGATCTTCATCAGACTCTCAAAACAGAACTGCAAGTACTGTACATGTACTTGTAGGACGTGTGTGTGATGTATTTGTGTGTGTGAGACACTTTGGATCCTAAAGCAACTTGATCCGAAGGATAAGGTTGTGGGAGGTTCTCTAAGATTTTGAGATCTATGGCCAACTTATACAGTTTATCAATTTTCTTTCACAGAAAGTGTGAAAGCTGTGGCCAGATCATGGGTGAGTACTGTGATGCATTTGAATATGTCTGAGATTTATTCAGGCTGCACGTTGTGCTAGCTCATCTTCCCTGTTCTTGGGCAGCATCTACAGCTATAGCCTGTACATAGTGTATATCTGGATAAGGAATTTAAATGGTACAGTCATGGACCATGAGACAATGAAGTTTAACACTTGTGGACTGTTTGATCACGGAGGAATAAAAGGCACCAACAAAGAGTTTGAGGGCTTTTTGCATGTAGTGTAGCCTGTGGTTGAGAGAGAGTAACCTCAGTATGCCTAAAATCAAGATTCTGGTTTCCTCAAGAATGTTGGGAATATCTTCCAAGACCGAGAGATATACCATGAGCTTCTGAAAACAGTGGTACAGGCAGATCAAGAATAGAAACGGTGAAGAAAAGATCTGGTGAAGGTACTTGGTGGATTACCAAGATATGAACATTTTACTAGACTTGTAAAACTGTTGCCTTAAGTGAATTAGCAAATGAACCACAGTAGTTTGCATGTTTGTGTGAAATATTCTTGACGAGTCCACTGTTAAAGAGGGACTTTCAGACTGGGAATACTTTAGGTACAACTACATTGTTTGTGTCTTTCACTGTTTCCCTTGCCAAACTTGCTAATTCTTAGATATGTGGGGTGAAATTGTGGTCCCACTGAAGTCAGTGGGAGTTTTACCGTTAACCTCAAAGGGACCAGGATTTTACCCATATTGTTTACACAGGAGTTTTGACTCAGCCTATCAGTTCCTTCTGTTAGGTCCTACAGTGAAGTCACAGTGCTGAACTGATGATATCCTATTTCTTTGGTAACAGACTGTGATGTCATTAAACACAGGATTATAACTTGAAGTTGAATGACATTTAAGTGGAGATGAGGATAGCAAATCTTAGGCAGACATCTTAAATAATATCAGGAGGCACACAAAGTATTATTAAATTTATTGTATCATAGCAAAAAAGAGATGAGCCAGATTTTCAAAAATTAAAACCTAAATTTCACCTGCAAAATATGCATGTGTACACACAAATGGTTAATTGTGTGGACAAAGTGGGCTGTGCAGTTGCCGATTTTTGCATGTACAGAGGCAGGTTTTACATGCACAATAACCTGTTCATTTATTCAAATGTATTGCGGATGCTACTCATGGTTTTTTTTTGTTTTGTTTTTTTTATGTTGTCATGTGCACCAGCTGTCCCCATGGGGAGTAGCCAGAACTGTAAGGGAACCTAAAGCCACAATTTTATTAGTATCAGACATCAATGATCTTGTCATTGTACTGGAAATAGAAATTGGATTCAGTTAAGCTTAGTTTAAGATGATTCAGGCTGTAGACCGTGATCTGTCAAGATTTCCTTATACTGTTTAATAGATTTCTAGTTCATTTGAAAAATACTGGGTTAATGTAAAGGAATAGTTAGCACTTAAAGATTATATATTTTTAGTGGTTTATGGAAAAAATGTGAAGATGACTATAAGGTAGTAATTGTCTGATATGTTCATTACAGGACTTCTATAGTAGGGTTTCCATATTTTGCCTTATTAACATGTCAGCATAACTGTTTTGGGATCTAAGAAATTCACATATTACTGAACAGCAAGTTATAAAATGAATGCTTATAATGGACTCCAGTAGAATCAATAATCAAGATAACACTGTGTTAGATCAGGAATAGTTTGTAATAGACAGACTTAGAGGAATATTTACTGCCTTTGTCCCCAAACTGGCTTTGCTAGTGATTATTACAATTCATATAACAAAGGCCCCATGCTGTACATTGATTTCACCATAGCACAAATATAATGAAATGTTATATGCAGGCTAGCAAAGGAAACTTAATAATCAGGGCTTTGTCTTCTAGAGAGTCATTGTGTTCTAAATATGCTGGACAATTCCTTTAGTTATGCTAATAGTAGTTATTTTCCGCATTAAATACTATTGAAATTCATCAGTCTATTGGAATTGCATTCAGTGATTTTTTTTTTTTTTTTTTGTTGATCCCACTTCCTATCACAAAAATATATTGCCTATATTGAGTGTAATTTTTAACTTGCAACAGTGCATTAGTGTGCAAAACAATCTTGATTGATTTGTGAGACAGCACTTTATTGAAAGGTTTTATAAATGGTTAATTTGGTTAAAAATTGGCACCTCTTTCTATCTAACCAACTTGTTTCTAAAGATATCCTTTAAATTTAATAATTTTAAAATGTCTTATTCTTTAGTATATTTTATGATTAATCTGCAGTCTTAGAATTAAGCACTTAATAGCATAGTACCTAGAGCAGAAGCTGACAATGAGAGAGTTTCTCAGTTGTTCCCTAGGAATAGTTTAAGTTTGGTTAAGAAGAGTGCATCCACTCTTCTGCGGCATTGTTTAAACCACTCTTCTGCAGCCCAGAAGACCTCATTCTAAATTAAATTTGCCCCCGTGATTCTCTGGGTTCTGGGCTGCATACAGGTGACATGAAGGGAATGGGCATATCCTTAGCAGTGTTGTGTGGACCTAGGATGGGTCAATTTCAGTTGAAAGCAGAAGTACTACTAATAAATGACACTTTCTGAATTTAGGATTTTAATTCTTTATCTCGTGAAACAACACGTCATCTCTAGTGGTCTAAGATTCTTAGAGTTGATAACTTGATTCTTTTCTCAGTGGATTTGGTTTTTGGTCTCATTTACAATGTATTTGGTATATGATTTTAAGCTTGATTAATGGATTTAAAGAAATTGAAGCTCTGGGCAAAATGATTAAAAATGCAGTATGATGCTCAGACTCTAAAAATATTATGGTTTCAACAATTGAAATAATTTCTGTTTCTCAATTTGTGCTGCTATGTGTTACAGATGATTTTTTCCCCCTTTTCATGCAGAGTATGATTTCTTCCATTGTGAACAGCACTTACTATGCAAATGTCTCAGCAGCAAAATGTCAGGAATTTGGAAGGTGGTATAAACATTTCAAGAAGGCAAAAGATATGATGGGTAAGCAAAAAAGTTGCAGTGGTGGTGGCTATATACCATTACACATGTGTCAAGGTCTGTCACAGTCCTATAAGAAGGTAGAGCTCTTAAAGATCAATGTAGTATGCTTTTTTTATGAGGGCGCAGGGAGTATGCATATAATGAGAGAATTAATTTCAATAAATATTTGTTATTAAACCAGCCAAACTGACTTGGCTTGTCTGACATGCGGGAAATTGGAATAAGATATAAAGTTGTCATTTTGTAAATCTGAGGCCTACCATGGCCTAGAATAATTTTTTTTTTTTTTAAGCTTTATTTAGAACTGTGAAAGATTGTGAATTTGTGGGGTTTTTTTCCTAAAATAGTACCTTTTATATTTTAAAGAAACAAGTCTGTAGTTACTGTAACAAATTCTAGTCTGGTCTCCATCACTCTCCTCCTAAAGAAGCTTATGAATTAACAAATGAACTGTATCTTGCTGTAACTTCTGGGGACTTCTGTAACTTCGGTCCATTATGACAAGGGCCTTGTTATAGCTATTGGGACAAATTTTTGCTGATTACAGTAAGGCTATAGTGTGCATGTATATTATAGGATTATAATAAATTAGTTGATGAGGTATATTAATTCTTTAATGTGTTTATAAATGTCTTTCACGGTTTTTTTTTTAAATCAATTAATATAAATATGGGCATTTTACATCCACTTCTACATAATAATTTTCAAACTGTTTTTGGAATGAAGAAAATGGAGTCTAATTTGGTTTGAATTTTGAGCATGTTCTAGCTTTTAGTATTTAAAGCAAAACCATTCATCTACCAAAACGGGTTCCTTGCCTTTTATAGCTTAAGGCAGTAATGAAGACAATGCATCACTTTTGTGGTAATTGCTTGAATTACTGTTCCAAGTGAATGGCACACTTGGGTTGATCTCTGCTTTCAGTTAGTGAAAACAGAAGGCTGCTTTCCTTAAACTTGTTTGCAGCTTCTGTGTAATGTTAACTTCAGCAATGTCAGATTTTTCTGTAAGTTTAAAATCTAAAGCTGTTTGCTCCTCTGAGGTCTGTGTTAAGGCTTGAGCCAAAGCCCACTGAGCTCCGTGGAAAGACTTATACTGATGTCAGTGGGCCTGATCCTTGTGCCAATCTCCCTACTGCACAGAAGGGAGTTTGGCCATCTCCACAGAGTATGCAAGCCACGGGTAATGGGAATCCCATTATCTGAAATAGTAATACAGCCACAAAGTCCACACTACATCTCCTCAAAAATCCTAGTAGCTGATGAAACTAGAGAGGGGCTCCATGATGACAGGAAGCTGTGAGTCCTCACCAGAGTTTGGAGGCATGGGGCCTCTTTGTAGAAGAACCCCGTCTTTCCTCCGCCCTTGACAGGACAGTGTGAGGGGATTCTGTGTGAGGGAATCCATGGACAGATTTCTTCCTACAGACTCCCCTCTGGTAGGAGGATGATCTGCTGAATAATTGTTAATGAGGAACATTAGTTAGTATGAACATTGTAGATATGTTTTTCTCCCTTCTCATAAACTGGGATTTGTTTCTTACACGATATTTTTATTTTAGGAATATTGCCAGTAAATGAAACACATTTGAACAAAGAGCTATTCCAAATAAATCTGGTTTAAAGGAGCCCTGTCAGATCAAAGTTGGCCAAAAGTTTGATGAGGGAGGGGGACCTCTTAATAAAACCTAAAGGAGTATTAATCTAACCTGGACTGTTCCAGCACTACATATGCGCTCTGCTCAACTATAAGGGAGTCTAAATTGTCCACAGAGGCGCTAGCAGTTAGAATAAAAGGCGTGATTAGTCAGAGGGAGTGTCTGGGGAAGGTGCCAGTAAAAAAAAAAAAATTTAGCTGTGCTTCAAGCCACTGAAACAATGATACATGGGAGGCTATAAGATAAAGCAGCCTGTCCTCCTTCCCTACCCCAGTCTCTCTCACATCCAGATCCTTGAGCATGGCTGAAGAGTAGCTCAGGAGTGAGCAAGGTAAAGGTTGCCTTTGTCCATTCCTGGTCCTGCATGCCAATACGGTCCAACAGCAAAATTTAACATAAATTATTCTAGTTTCTAACAGGCCATAGGATTGATACAGCAACGAGGAATTAGCAGGGTACAGGGATGTCTAGATTGTATGCCCTTCTCCATCCCATCTGGGAACTTTAGATGTAGTAGGGAAGATTCTGCAGGAGTTAAAGTTCATGGGTGCAACACAAGCAGCCAGTGGGTCTATATGCCAGAGTGAGGTTGCTCCCCAGTAACAGCCACTACTAGGCTTTGCATGTCTGCACCCAGAGTTGTGTGCACACTCATGCTTACTGAGGGGCCTCCCTGAATTCCTGTAGAGCCGGGTAGCACTGCTCACCATTCCCTCTTCTGTGCTCCAGCTCTTCGCTTTGTCTAGTTTTTGCTTCCTGATTTTGGGCCCTTGGTTATTTACAGTGCGTTAGACCAGGGGTGGGGAACCTTTTTTTCCTATCACGGGCCATTGAGCCCCAGAAAAAATCAATTGCAGTCCACACACAAGTAAAAAGCAACTTAATTTACAGGTTTTTTTAGAGCTAGAAATATAAAATGTTCAACTCAACCGCCCCGGGGGGCACAGACGCTCCGGGCTTCCCCCTGCGGTGGGATGAGCCGGATAAAATTAAGCAACTGGCCGCATCCAGCCCGCAGGCCATAGGTTCCCCCACCTCCCTACTTTAGACCCATATGACTGTGCATCCTCACTGCAAACATGGCTTTTTTGTTGTTGTTGTTTTTTAATTAAATAAATAAATGGAGATATCCTATCTCCTAGAGCTGGAAGAGACCCTGAAAGGTCATCAAGTCCAGTCCCCTGCCTTCACTAGCAGGACCAAGTACTGATTTTTGCCCCAGATCCCTAAGTGGCCCCCTCAAGGATTGAACTCACAACCCTGGGTTTAGCAGGCCAATACTCAAACCACTGAGCTATCCCATTTGGTGGCTGCTACATTCCCCTTCTCCTTACCTTCAGGAAAGGCTCCTCCCTTGCCATACTTAGACCAGATGAGACAGGTTTTTACTGAATCCCCACTAGCCCATCCTAGGTACTACTGTCTGTATGTGCCATGTGTGTGTGTTTGTTCTTCTTTTTAATGCACTGCACCATCCTTGGAAGGCCAGAAATGTAAGATTACACAGGAATGGTGTTGCTATGAAACTTCTTATGGGATTTACAATACAGTAAGCCAGAATCTAAATTAAACGGCCTTCTTCTAAAGAGTGTTTTACTATTTTCAGTTCATCTGTACTGGTATTTTGTCTAACTAAATGTTTCTTTTCCATTCTAGTTGAAATGGATAGTCTTTCTGAACTATCCCAACAAGGTGCCAACCATGTCAACTTTGGTCAGCAACCAGTCCCAGGGAACACAGCTGAACAGCCTCCATCCCCTGTTCAGCTTTCTCATAGCAGTCAGCCATCCGTTCGGACCCCACTCCCAAACCTGCACCCTGGACTTGTATCAACTCCTATTAGCCCTCAGTTGGTAAATCAGCAGCTGGTAATGGCCCAGTTGCTGAACCAGCAGTATGCAGTGAACAGACTTCTAGCCCAGCAGTCCTTAAACCAACAGTACTTGAACCACCCTCCTCCTGTCAGTAGATCCATGAACAAGCCGTTGGAGCCGCAGGTCTCAACCAACACAGAGGTGTCTTCCGAAATCTACCAGTGGGTGCGTGATGAATTGAAACGAGCAGGAATTTCACAGGCAGTATTTGCACGTGTGGCTTTTAACAGAACTCAGGTCAGACTTTTCTTTTGTTTTTAATGCAAGATTCTGTTCTTTTCAGTATTTGCCACCATTTCCATCTCTCACCTTGTTCATTTCCTCCCCACTTTCCTCCTATGAAGGAGCCATCATAGCACTAGGCTTGTGCTAGTACATCTGTGTCTAAGTTGACATGGTAGATAAACCTTAAGTTATCCACAGTCAGGGCCGGCTCTAGCTTTTTTGTCACCCAAAGCAGCGAAGCGGAAGGGGAGGGGAAGGGGAAAGGTAAAGCCGCGATCGGCAGCACTTCGGCGGCAGCTCTTGCAGGTCCTTCACTCCAAGAGGGACGAGGGACTCGCTGCCGAAGACCAGGACGTGCCGCCCCTTTCCATTGGCCGCCCCAAGCACCTGCTTCGTTTGCTGGTGCCTGGAGCCGGCCCTGTCCACGGTGTGTGGAAATTCTCACCATTCTTAAACCGCTTTAATTGTTCCTCTCTCGTTCTAGTTGCTATTCTTGGATGTGTAGTAATTTTCCAAAAGGAGAGAAACCTAGCAGCTCTACCCAGAGCCAAGCTCAAAGCCACTCACCGAATCCCTTTCTATGTTGTAAAGATGCAGCTGTGCAATTAACGCTGTCTGTCTCGCATCATGCATATGTGTATGCTGAACAAACTAACCGCAACACAGTGCAGACTGTGCTGCTCCATATCCCGAATGTATTCTCACTCTGTTTTATCATTAGCTATACTTAGCCTCCAAAGCACCCAACTGGCTGTTACTATTTTCTTTTCCTGCTAAGATTTGTTCTGTGACTACTACCAAAATTTTAAACATACCTCGACTACAAGATGTATACTTTTTTTATTATATATCAATTTGGCTTTTTGATCTCCCACTCTTTCCATATGTCTACTTTTTAAAATTAAATTTCATATTAAAACATTATTTTTTCTGAGTACCAGTGTACAGACCAAAGTGTATACTGCAGCTGTCAAATGCAGTAAAACCTTTAGCTCTAGCAAAGCTGATACAACACTAATGTGTTAGCTTTTGACACTTGATTTAGAAGCTAATGCTGCTATAACTTATTCTTCTATAGGATTTTAACTTAATGCCATGCCACATGAAATGTAATGAAGACACACTATGAAAGAAATGCCAATATATCTAATAAGCATAAGAAAAAAATAAAAAAGTATAATTTTTAACTTAAGGTAAATTGATTCTTAATATGAAGTATGAAAAAAATGGCTTGGAATTATGAAAATTTAAAACTTAGTGGGAAGGTATCTGACCAGTGTGTAATTTAACAATTATGCTCTGAGTAAAGTACATTTCTTGAACCTTTTTTGATTTAACTTTCCTTCTTGTATAATTTAAGAAGGAAAAAGACATTACACTTTAAATTCACTAATACTAGGTTTATATCAATGCACTATTTCCCATCGTTATAAATTAGGAAAATGAACTCCTTTAGCTGAGATAAAATATAGCTTCTGTGTTGTATGTTGTGATTTCTGTAAAAGGTTGTAGTTTTTCTTAAACATGAATCCTTAGATCCTTACCAGTGGTTGAGGTTTTTAGGATTGGGTTTTTACACATTATTTCAGTGGTACTAGTGTATCAGAGTAGGATCAGGCTATGTCAGTTGAGATGTGTGAATAAATATACATGTGTGGGTTTTGGTTGTGCTTTTACTTAACACACTTGCAGAATTTAACAGTTCTGATTATTGGCACTATTTCCTATTGAAATACATAATAGCTTCCAGTTATGATGGCCTGGGGCTGCCATCTTGCCTACAAGTAAAGCTGAGCAAATAATTCAGAGAATAATTTATTTAGTAGATTTTGCCTCTGTTTGAATCGTGCATGAGCAGCTTGAGACCTCCACCCCTCAAAAATAGTTTTTGTTTCCAAAATTTGCTAGTTAATTTTTTCACACAGTTTTTAGTCTGTAGATTGTATACGAATGCATTCTTCGTATTTGATATTTGAAATTCAAGTTGGAATTGGTTAATTTTGATTGAACACCTATCTCATATATTACCGTATATTTCTATTTTGTGATTGGATTTGTGTAATCTTAGAATTAGGTTCCAGTGCAAATACTCTCACAAATTAGGAATTTGTTTGTTTAAAATTTACTGTTTCCAGGAATATTGTTACCAATAAACTCATTAGGATATACTCAAAAATGGTCCAAAATGGGAGAAAACACCATCAAAGTGAACTTGTTTTAAAAAGTCAAATGAAGAGAGATGGAATCTCTTCCCCCCTCAAACAAACAGTGAACAAACAGTAGTTGCCCTTGGAATCTTACAAATTGCCTTGGCTAATTAATTAAATACTTGCCATTACATTACCTGTGTATTTACAATATTCATGGTATTGGATATGGAAAAGGTAGAGAACAAGATAGAAATAATGCAGATGCTGAGGGAACCTTAGACCCCAATCTTGCAGAGAGATACGCAAGCCTTACCTTGTGCCCCTGCAAAGCCCAATTGAAGTCAATGGTGCTTCACACATACACACTGTTTGCAAGATTGGGGCCTTAGCTAGTTATCTTGGGTAAAACAGACAAGTTTAAGGGTCGCTGCTGCATTTAATGTCTACATTGTATATATAAACCCATATTTTATAGATAAGCATATTTATTTTTAATCGGTATATTCAGAATATATCTCCTTTAATCAGATTTAGGGGAAGAACTTTGATGCATTACATCTTTCAGAGGTTATTTCTGAATACAATATAGTACAATGTACATGTAATATTTATTTTTATTTTTCAATAGTGCAAAGTGAAAATGTTTATTTAAATCCAGCTACTAAATTCTGAGTTTAAAAACTAACCCGGGCTTAACTGTGACATGTTTAAAAACTGTCATAGGTATATTTGAGCCTCTCTCTGAAACAGTCCAGGCACCAGATTATGCCATCAGTTTTTTAAGCAGAAGACTTCACCGGAATCAGTTAAACTGTGTAAAAACTAATGGTCTGATATGGCCCCAGATGAGAGAAGAGACTTGATTTTCAGTATAGAAGTTAAAGAAGGAAATGACTTCTACACTGAGAGCAATGCAGCATAACAGTCTGGCATTCAAGATGGGCGTCAGTTTTGGTTAAACGTGCTGGTGTAGATGTCAGCACTTCTTATCTTACAGACTTTAACTCTGTCAATATTACATTGTGATACTGATATAAATATGCTTTAGGAAAAAAGAAATTCCTAATTACTTCAATGGTTGGTCAACACTTGGCTCCATTTTTCTGGGGATTTTTTTTTTCCCCCAGGAAAAAATTCTTCTTAGATTAGAACTGCCTGTGCTAGGTCCTAGTCCATAGGAGAGAGGAATTTGGTAAAATTACATCTGCTAGGGTGTGGTTTTTTTGTTTGTTAGTTTGTTTGTTTTTTAAACTATCTGAATGTTATTTTATGACAGTGTTGGGGGTTTTTTACATACAGAAATTGACCAGATGCTTTTAATTTTCTCTTGGATAATCAAATACAACTTCTTTTTCAAACTTCAAAGTTGGTACATATGTAGTTCTCAGTTAGGAATACGTCTGGCCAAGTATAAAAAGAAAATAGTTGAGAAATCTATAACTGAGTGAAAATTAGCATACTTTGCATATGCAGTACATCATTTGCCTTCCTGATTTAAAGTACCTTAGGCGAGTGGAACAACCCGCCCTCCCCACCCCTCCACCCCGGTCTGTTGCTGAACATTCCCAGTTGTCCTGTAAGGTGGGCTTCAGTGCACAGTGAGTCTAAGGTTCTAGTGATTGCGTTGCTAGGAACCCCTGTGAAGGGAATGTGAAAAAGAAGCAGTTGCCATTCCAACCCAGTGGCTGAGAGAGAGGTAGATTACATCGCTTTAGCCCCTCTTTGTAGTGCCCCATGCTAAATTCATTTAGCCAAGATTTGTGTGAATTTCACCCCAAGTGTGGCTATCCAGATATATGCACATGGATAGCTGCACTAAAATAAACCAAGCTATGTTTCAGTTACTAGCTGTAAATGAATGAATAGATTGTATTCAGACTTTTTTTTCATCTAAATTCAGTGCATCAGGCAGATAACACATATGTATAGTGAGAACACCCCATTGAAATACATAGGCTGAGTCCAATCCCTCACTGGGCACAGATGAGGAGGGTGAGATGAAGAGGAGCCGGCCAGTTGTGGTTCCCTGAACCTTGCAGGGGTGGAGTAGTTTAGAGAAGTCTCAGGTCTATAACAGTCATAAGGGGCTGCCCACTAGTTAGGGGTTGCTGAAGTGCACTTTGGCCATACCCTTTATGTTGGGGACAAGGAGAAGGAATGGCATAGGGTAGCTGCACAGGCGTTACACCATGTCTATATGGATGGGAGGCTGTCTGCCCTGCTTTTTCCTTTTCAAAAGTGTGTCCACCCAGAGCCAATCACAAGTATAAATGTGAAGAATAGTGCACAATCATTTCAATAGCCTTATTTAAAAAACATTGCAAAAAATGCAGTACGTTTGCAATGCCACACACACACACAAGTTGGTCAAGTCAAAGGTTAGGTTCCCATAAACAAGCCTGACACATTTCGCTTTAAGGCATACGTTGAACCATGTATATAGTACAGCAATCAGTACTATGTACTTTTCAAGCAAGGAGTTATTAGTCATGGTTATGGTTCATAGATTCATAGATTCTAGGACTGGAAGGGACCTCGAGAGGTCATCGAGTCCAGTCCCCTGCCCGCATGGCAGGACCAAATACCATCTAGACCATCCCTGATAGACACTTATCTAACCTACTCTTAAATATCTCCAGAGATGGAGATTCCACAACCTCCCTAGGCAATCTATTCCAGTGTTTAACCACCCTGACAGTTAGGAACTTTTTCCTAATGTCCAACCTAGACCTCCCTTGCTGCAGTTTAAGCCCATTGCTTCTTGTTCTATCCTCAGAGGCTAAGGTGAACAAGTTTTCTCCCTCCTCCTTATGACACCCTTTTAGATACCTGAAAACTGCTATCATGTCCCCTCTCAGTCTT